TGGAGAGCTACATGTGATTGCTTGTTATTTTAATACCTAAAGTAAGATCTGGGAGGAAATATGTGCTGCTTCAGACATTGAACAGAGGGACTTGCTTGAACAAGATAGGAGACACCTCCTATCTCAGCACTGAGCTCTTAATAGACATGGTGTTCAAACCTTCTGCTGACCTAGTAAGTGAAGAACAAACTCAGAACCTGCAACTGGATTCCCATAAGGCAGTGCATTGTTCTGCCTCTATGTCACTAAGCTGGCCCTCTCAGGGAGTCTGCCTCCATTTCACTTTTTTGAGCACAGGGTTATTTTTCTTTTCTAATTTAATATTTCTAGCACCGCTCCCCCCAACATAATGCAACTCACATACTTGTAGATTATGAAAAAATAATTAGTTTCCATAGCAACTGAATGCAATGTCTATATTAAGAAAGAAAATAATTAACCCTCTAATGTGAGATAATGCTGGAGACACATGTTTAAATCTGCAGGAGGCTTTGGCTAAAGCCACAGTATATCAAGTTTTAAGTGATAAATGCTTATCTCTTGATAGCCATCCTATTAAAACAAGCAGGGAAAATTCCATAGAAGCAGTGATATGTGACATTAATGGAAATATATCCAGAAAATGGATTGTAATTGTCAATCTTGAGAGAAGCAGCTGTGGAGTTCTGTAATTTGATTCCATTTTAGGGTAGCTTTTTTTTTCTTCCTTCCTGTGGATGCAACTATGATTACTCCCCATAGCTGTTCAGAGTGACATATTTTTATAGATTTCCTGCTTTAGTTTCTCTACACAGCTTTTATTCATCACTCTGAGGTTGGTCAAGTTAGATGTGTGGTCCATGTAATATATGAGAGAGAGACGTTTACCTGTGTGCATATAGATTTAGAACGACAAGGTAAGGGAGGTAATATCTTTTATTGGACGAACTTCTGCTGGTGAAAGAGACTAGTTTTTGAGCTTACACAGAGGTCTTTGGGTCAGGAAATCTCTTTCACCAACAGAAACTGGTCCAATAAAAGATATCACCTTGTCCATCTTGTGCCTCTAATATCCTGAGACCAACATGGCTACAACACTGCAAAACACAGACACACACACACACATATATATATATATAGGTATTTTTTTTTAAAAACAGATATGCACAGTTAGGTTCCAAAATCCATAATTAGGCACCTGAGCCCAGATCTTCCAACTGAAAGGTAGGCATCTGAATACCTTTGAGGATCTGGCCCCTAAATCATTATTCAGCAAGGTACTTAAGCATATGGCTAACTTTAAGCACCCATTGTCTGTCCATGTGCTTAAGTACCTTGCAGAATTGATTCCTAAGTAGGTGGCCTGACAATCAAGAGTGGTAAGCATCCAAAAATTCACTTTGACTTGAATGGATGCTTCCAGCTGCTCAGCACATTTGAAAATAAGCCCACTTACAAAGGTGCCTAAGTATTGATTTAGGAGATGAATTTTAAGCACCCATTTTTCAAAATCTTGGCCATATGCTTGAAAGAAATGGTTACAGTGGAAATCAATTTCTTCAGTTCTAGAATGGGGAAATTAAATATAAATTGTTCAATAATTAATGTTTTCTGAATAGTGCTGATGTCCCTGAACAACAGTATGCAATTGAAGATTTGTTTGTTGTAAGTTATTAATATGTGGAAACAAATGCCTAAATTAAAAATTAATATGCAATGTTTACCAGTACTGCCAATAATTTGGGGAATGGGCAAATGACTCATGTATCATGGTTTTAATAAGCTTTCAATTCCCCTCACTGCCAATATTGGCTAAAAATATCCCAGTAGGGCCAAATTCTACCTTCAGTTATGTCTGTGTAAACCCACTGATTTCTGTGTGATTTTCACTGCTCTGTCAAAGGGGAGAATTTCACTATCGGGTCAGGTTCCCCCTGGTGTAATACCAGGGATACATTTGGCTCCTGATCCTTCTATTGTACTATGCCACATTGTCTCTTTTATAGCCAAATGTATCAGAAGCAAAGTCAGATTCTGCTCCTAGAGCAATGCCAAGAACATTCTGAAAATCTTTAATCCATCTGGTTCAAGTTCTCTGTGTACCCTTATTTCTGACCTGCATATAACTGTCAATATGGATAAGATTACATATTAGATATGGACACACTTCTGCCCTGTCTGCTTGATGAGATCTTATCAAGGTGAAGCTCTTCAATTCCCATTTTTGGGGGGAGGCAGTGGGGGGGAGGGTGGTAGTGGGAAATGCATTACAAGGTCTTCAGGTTATAAGCAGTGTTTTGTAAATGGAACAAAAATAATTTGAGATTTTTTTTTCTACAGAGTCTAAAACAGAATCAGCTCCCGAAGCTCTCTTCCTTACCCTCAATATGAAAAAGAAGGTATGTCCAATTTTACCATAACAGTGTTATGGTGAAAAGAATTGTTTGTGCTTTCAGCATTTCTTTTCTTTAGCAAAATTATCCTCCTTTTGGTAACAAATAAAAAAAGACTACTTTGGAACTGGGAGCACTTAAAGCCTTTTTGATTTAGATCCATATGTAGTATGCGCAGAGTGAAACAAGTACAAACTGCTGTTTACATTTTCTCACTGAAAAACTCTGGAATTGTGCTTTATAAGAGTATTATATGTATAGATGGTTTAGTTTCATACATGTGACAATGTTCCTAAGTGAGTCATCTGCTAGGACTGAATCCAGGACTTCTGGATTTGTAACTATGAACCTCACCTGGGAGAACTAAGGTCAAGTCTACTAGTTTTGAGCCATTAGCAGTTCATAAACCTCTATATATGGTTTATATAACACCTGGTGTTAATATGTTTTACATACAGATTGGGCTGATTAATTAAAATTGAAATTGGTTGAATCTTTTCCATCAAAATGTTTTTTTTAATGGGAAATTATTTTGGGGCAAAATGGAAAATTAAAACAAAATAGTTTTGTCAATTTTTGGAGGGGTGGGGTAGGAGCTATTGAGTTGCAAACATGATTTCAGTTGTTTATTGAAAACCAGAAAAATGTTGAAGAAATTTTAGACGAAAACAAACCTTTTTCCATTTCATTGAATATTTTGTGGAGGGGGAAAAATAATTTCCTGATTACCACTAAGATAAAATAATACACTAGGTAAATTTGTTCAGAAAAGTCCGTACCCTAATTTGCCAGACATTACCCCAATCACTTGCATGTATGCTGCATCCCCCAACCCTAGTGTTCATCAATCTTTTCCAGTTACATTTTAAGGTCTTAAAAGCAAGGCCTTTTTCTCACTATTTGTTTGTGCAGCCCCTAGCACAATGAGGCTCCAGATAATAAAAAAAATCAACACAAATCATAATCTTCTTGCCTGTTTACCCCTTTATCAATAGGTGGAATAATATGGACTCATCTCTGAATGTAAGGCCACCAAAAATTCCACTGAAATGACCTTCCTTTTCTTGTGACATTTAAATGTCTCAGAAAACCAGAATCATTGGCTAGCATCCTAGTGTTCCACAGAGTCCGAGGAGAGTATTGTAGGCAAATAAACTCCAGCATCTGGTGAATTCGTTACCCATCAGACTTCTCAGCTCTAGCACCTGAATTGATTTTTAGAAACTATTTTTTTTTTTTTTTTTTTTTTTAGATCCTTTCAGGCTTTGGATTTAATCACATCTCCAAAATCCTGTCTTTCTCCACATGCTTTCAGTTGCTGACTCCACACGGGCTGTTCTTAGTCCCTCTTTTCAGCAGTAGGGACCATGATATAGGCTATGTCTACACTAGAGAGCTTACAGTGGCACAGTTGTACCAATGCAGCTGCGCTGCTGTAAGATCTGTAGTGTAGCCGCTCCATGCCAACAGTCTCCCATTGACTTAATTAAACTGCCTTCAATGAGAGGTGGTAGCTATGTCAGTGGGAGAAGCTCTCCCACCGACATAGCGCTATGCACATAAGCGCATATGTCGGTGTAGCTGATGTTGCTCAGGGGGTGTTTTTTTCACACCCTTGAGCAACATAAGTTTTGCTGGTGTAAGCGGTAGGGTAGACATACCCTTAGTCCCTTCTTTCCTTGTTTGTTTTGGCCGCCTGAACTTTCATAGACCATCTTGTACTCACCAGCTGTTTTCTTCCTGGATCAAGCTATTTCCTTCTCATCACCTAGACTCTTCCTGATTTATCTTAAGATGGGCAAACTGGGATTAAACTCTCTCCTCTTCAGAGTGAAAGAGAGGGAGAAAACAGCTCGAAATGTTCATGCATTCACCAAGGATGATCTACAGTGGGACTAACTTTTTCTTAGAGCTTGTCAGAATTTTTTCATCAAAATGGATTTTCTATTAAAAATGCCATTTATGTAAAAATCAACGTCTGGAAAATGTGTTGATTTCAACAGAATTTTGTTTTGAACTCCCCCCACACACATACACAAAACAAAATATTTTGATAATATTGAAATAGCCCATTTGAACCCTCAAATTTTCACTTAAAAATGACTTTCTGAAACAAAATACATTGTTTTATGTAAAGTTAAAAAGTTAAAATTGGAAAAATTGTTTAAATGTTATCAAAACAAATATTTTGATTGACTGGAAACACCATTTTTTTTTCCAAATTCTGTTTTGCAGGAAATGTCAAATGTTCTTGTTTTCATTCTGTTTTGGAACAGATTGGGTTTTTTTGAAATTGCAGAATTTCCCACAAAACAGAAATCTGGTTCCCACCCAGCCTTTCCCCAAATGGTGTTCACTATCTGTGTTCCTATAACTCTTTGATTGCCTGTGGCCCAGTTCTGATCCTGTAGGGCATTCCAAAGAATAAGAGGAAAGCAATAATGATCTGGTAGGTCTGTACAAAAGAGTCAGCAGCAATCATTCCAGTAATGCAAGGTGGTTGAGGTAATAGCAAACTAGCTGGGTTAATAGCAAAGTAAATAATTTACAGTATGTTACTAACCATGAAGAGTTGATTTATTATACCTAAGAAAATCCATTGTTTATTACCTCTTGTAAAGACAAGTAGATTGCCCCAGAGGTCCTTCCCAACCATAGAGTGTCACAAGGAAGATACAGAGATGTGGTTAGTCTCTGGATTTCAAGATTCAGCAGAGAAGGGAACAGAAATACATGAGATGAGAGTGGATGTGACACTGGAGAGTGTCTAACTGGCACTTTTAAATTGAATTCATTGAGAGACAGATAGACAGGTAAGAGATATATAATACGATTCTATTAAATGATAGAGATGATATGATTATTCTGCGTAGAGTAAAAGACAAGGTGGGTGGGGTAATATCTTTTATTGGATCAACTTCTGAGAGAGCAGTCTGGCAGTGGGAATCTGCACCAAGCTGACGTTTACAGAGGACAGATTAGTAGGTTCATAAAATGGTTCCTGAATAGCAGACAATGATGTAAAACAAGTATATGAAATACACAGTAAATACATAATTTCCTGCCTGCTTTCTCTGATCTGGGTCTGTGTCCAAATCTGAATGTGTCAACTTGGACTTGTAATAGTTTGGGATTATGTCTAAGTACCTCCCCGTTCTGATTCTGTGAAAGCCAAACTGTATTTTCAGTGTCCAGTTTGAGTGTAACCTTTCTTATTACCTTTTCTTTATACTGTAACTGCCATGTAGGATTGCTAATCACTCTTCTGTTAGGGGGCCTGGTGCCTTGGTGTCTGATCCTGAATAAGAGAGCCATTAAGGGACCATCAGCTTTGAGCAACTCTCTCCTATGGGAATAGTGGGCTTACTAAAGGGAGTGGCCAAGCTACGAGAACCTGATTCCCCAGTTTGATTCCCCTGGGGCTGGAACTTTAACTACCTTACTGGACTCTGAAGCCAGTCAGTGAGCCACATAACAGAGGGACAAGGTAGGTGACATAATAATATCTTTTACTGGACAAATTTCAGTGGCTGAAAGAGACAAGCTTTCCAGATTGCACAGAGCTTTTCTCCAGGTCTGGAGAAGAAGATATTATCTTACCCCTTCTGTATCTCCAATATCCTGGGACCAACACAGCCACAACACTTCACTATAAATATGACAGAGAACACAGCAACCTTGTTTAAAAGTCAAGCTGTGATTCTCTCCCCTGTTCTCACCTCAGGAACCAGAAGGATTGCAAAAAGCAGAAGGACCCTCCTCACTTCACACAAGGACTGGTCTTAAGGACTCAGAATATGGGGTGAGCATACACTATGCAAAGAAAATGTGTAGGTTATTATTAGGGCTGTCAAGTAATTAAAAAATTATTCATGATTAATCGCGCAATTAAAAAATTAATTGTGATTAATTGCACAATTAATAACACTGTTAAACAATAATAGAATACCATTTATTTAAATATTTTTCGGATGTCTTCTACATTTTCAAATAAATGGATTTCAATTACAACACAGAATAGAAACTGTATAATGCTCGTTTTATATTTATTTATGATTACAAATATTTGCACTGTAAAAAACAAAAGAAATAGTATTTTTCAGTTCACCTCATACAAGTACTGTAGTGCAATTTCTTTATCATGAAAGTTGAACTTTCAAATGTAGAATTATGTACAAAAATTAACTGCATTCAAAAATAAAACAATGTAAAACTTTAGAGCCTACAAGTCCACTCAGTCCTACTTCTTGTTCAGCCAATCACTCAGACAAACAAGTTTGTTTACATTTGCAGGAGATAATGCTGCCTGCTTCGTGTTCACAATGTCACGTGAAAGTGAATACAAGCATTGGCATGGCACTTTTGTAGCCGGCATCGCAAGATATTTACATACCATATGCGCTAAAATTTCATATGTCTCTTCATGCTTCAACCAGTATTCCAGAGGACATGTGTCCATGCTGATGGCAGGTTCTGCTCAGTAACAATCCAAAGCAGTGGGATCAATGCATGTTCATTTTCATTATCTGAGTCAGATGCCATCAGCAGAAGGCTGATTTTCTTTTTGGTGGTTCGGGTTCTGTAGTTTCCACATCTGAGTTAATCACATGAGTTAACTGCAATTAATCGACAGCCCTAGTTATTATTATTTTTCTTAAAGATCTTTTGTATGATTTCTGTGGTTTTAGAACTCTTGTGTAAAGCCTATGTTCCTTAGTTTACCAGCCATGTGGCCCCAAAGAATTAAACTATAAAGCCCACTGGGTATGGGAGCTCTAGGGGAGCATGCTTGGTGACTGGTGAGGTTTGGGAGGTTCAGCACTGGTTTCAGGGCCTAGGGCAGCTGAATAGCACAATTTCAAATCTCAAGGAAGGGGTGTCAGACAGCAAGTCTGCATACCGCGAGTGCACAACTAGAAGCCAGAACTAGAAACAGTCTTTTGACCCTGCCCAGACCCACCTGGCTTGGACATATGTGGGATCCAAAGACTGGTCCAATTATCATATGGTGACCATACACTAGGGGGACTCGGACTGGTCTGTAAAAGGCCTCATCTCTCTAAAAGGACCTGAAGGGTCACCCCGATTTATCCCCAAAATTGACACAGGAAAAGTCTGAATCTGAATGTTAGTGCTTGTTAATACATGTCTACATTTTTCATTTTTGGACTAAGACAGTGCAGCTGGCATGGGTAGGCATATCTTAGTATAATTCAGAACATAGTCATATTGGCAGGGTCTAAATACAGTAAGCAACCTGAAAGCTTGTCATTTACCAATATTACCCCTTTAACTACTTTTGATTTCTGTGATCTTTCTAAGTATGGAAATAACAGAAATATAGCAAACAACTGTTAAAATGGTAAATGACAGGTTTGAAAAGGCACAGATTGATCTGAACTGCAGAATAATGGTTCTTTTGAGTCTTTTCACCAAACAGTGTATTAGAGGCATCATTATTATTATTTAGCACTTCAAATCACTTGGCCTTCACCTTCATACCCTATAACCCTACTTAGAGTGTGCTATCAACTCCCAACAATGCACTGTCATCTTTTTGATTACACTACTTGTCTTAATTGAGCATGTTTAATGTGTACATTGGCCCTTAACCTTTCATATCTGCCTAACTCAGGTGGTTTTAGTGTTGGCACTCTAAGCCGTGATATAAAACCTGCAAGTATGCATGTATGCATCCGATGAAGTGAGCTGTAGCTCACGAAAGCTTATGCTCAAATAAATTGGTTAGTCTCTAAGGTGCCACAAGTACTCCTTTTCTTTTTGCTAGTTAGCTTGTAAACCACTGATGCTTTTTGTTCTGACCCACAGTGCGCTTCTTTGTTTATCTATGCACATTTCTCTGAGTTTGCATTTATTAAACAACATTTTAAGAAAGAATAAAGTAGGTTTTTTCTGAGGCCACCTGGAATTATCCAACATTGCTGAAAGTGGGCTATGAGAAGACAAGTACATCACAAAAGATAGTGAAAATCACGTTAATGTGAGGAATGTGAGGAATGTGCTGATGGTTCTGTGATCATAATACATTCATCCCAATTACATTTGTTTATATGGTAATTAGGGTTTTCTAGCTCGAGTTTCACAGATATTTAAGCAGGTGAACATCTTTCTTCCTGATAGTCCATCAAACAGGAAAAAATAAGAGGTATGAAAAAGAGGAAGCATGCTCACCAGAAATAAAATAAATTGAGTGCCTTGTTAGGATTACAAAAGCTTTGAACTTGCTCTTCCCCCACTGGGAATGATCCATTAAAATTACAGTAAAAGCTTTTTTTTCTGGCATGTTGGGGGAATGGGGGGTGGCGGTAAGTAAAAAATTCCAGTTAACTAAGAGGGAGGGAGTTTGTGTGCAGGAGGGGGCTCAGGGCTGGGGCTTGGGGCGCTGGAGGGCATGGGCTGTGGGAGGAAGTTTGGGTGCAGGAGGAGGCTCGGGGCAGAGGGTTGGGGTGAAGGAGGGGTTTCAGGGTGCCAGATCTGGGCGGCATTCACTGCAGAACGCTCCCCGCAAGCGGCGACATGTCCAGAGAGGTGCGGCCAGGTGGCTCTACACACTGCCTCTGCCTACAGGCACCGCCCGCACAGCTCCCATTGGCCACAGTCACCTGTGCCTGTGCCTGGAGCCTGTGCTCAGGGCAGGTCAGGAGCAGCTCACAGAGCCCCCGGGGCTGTTCCTCTACCTAGGAGTATTGACTGCAGTGAATGGGAGCTGTGGGGGTGGCGCCTGCGGACAGAGTCAGCATGCAGAGCCACCTGGCCGCACCTCTCCGGACATGTCACCACTTACGGGGAGCCACCTGAGGTGAGCACTGCCTTGATCTGGCACCCCGAAATCCCTCCCATGCCTCAACCCCCTGCCCCGAACCCCCTCCTGTACCCACACTCCCTCCCAGAGCCCATGCCCCACACCCTCTGCCGAAATGCTGGTTTACAGAGCTTTCCGGTTTGTAAAGTGCCGGATAACACAGCTTTTCCTGTATATGTATTTTTGCATGTATCAGACACTCTTTCCACCCATTTTTAGGTTTAGAAAAGTTGTAATAGAGTTACCATTTGGACAAAAAATATGAAAACTAAAAAAAAAAGAAATAAAAATCAGAACCGAGAACTGACTTCTAGTACAATACAGCATGACCACTGTGAATCTTGAAAAGTTTATCCTCTCCCAGCAAGGTATGAGTTGTTAGAAAAATGTGGAAATGGAGGCGGGGTTTGTTCTTTGAAATCTTATATCTGACATATAGAAAAAAAAAACTGTCTTACACTAGGATGTTTCATTTTTTATTCCTTTTGTCACAAATGTGGTCTCTTACTCAATCAAGTCTTTGAAAGTGTAATTTAAAATGACAATAGGAAGTGAGCTGTGTAATTCTCTAGAAGCGGATATTCCCTTTGGATCCTGTCATTCCAACATCATCCTCTCATCCTGTTATGTTGTGCAAGGTGCTAAATGGAGATTAAGGTAGGGCCAACATATTTTTCACAGTAGATTGAATATATAGAGTGTGGGGAATAGGAATGTAAAAAAAAAGAAAGCAAGTTTGATTTGTGGGTAGAAAAATGACATACAGGCCCTACGTGCCAGAAACACAGAGCATGTTTTAGCATGCTAAATGTTAAGTTATCACAAAGCCACATAAAAAGACAAGTTCTGATCTGAAACATTGGGCCCAAATAATTCTGAATTAACTTCAGAAACCAAGTGGACAATCTAGCTTGTTTTATTAAAATAAGAAAAACACTCTTCAAGATTGCAAGCCTATTCAGTAAAGCTCAAGCAGGGGGTAAGGTTGAGGTGGGTAGGGGGGCATAAAAGTGAAAAAAGTCTGGGTAGGAAGAAATTTTGAAAATAAATTACAAGCCTGCTCTAATCCAAAAATTCCTGACTCGTGGCAGGACTGATGCAAAGGGCAGCTGAAATTCATTTTTAAAGCCTGGCATAGAAATTTAGCTGCAAACTTTAATTTGAAAAGGTATGATACTGACTTACAATCATAGTAATGTAGGACTGGAAGGAACTTTGAGAAGTTATCTTGCCCAGACCCCTGTGCTCTGGCAGAACCAAGTAAACCTAGACCCTCCCTGACAGGTGTTTGTGGAACCTCTTCTTTAAAATCTCTCTTGCCGAGGACTCCACATCCTCCCTAAGAAGCCTATTCAAGAGCTTAACTACCCTTATAAGTTAGAAAGTTTTTCCTAATATCTAACCTTGGATGTAACATGGGAATTGTAATGAGGGAAGAAGGTAAGTAGATTGTCAACACCACTATCATCCTCTCATAGCAAAGTGTCTGAATAGTACATTCAAAGACTTGATGCATTTCTTCCATGAAGCTATCTGATCTCTCTTTAGAGATCTTTAGTATTATGAGGGACAGGAAGACACCAAAAATGGATCAGAAGAAAACTTAAGAGTGCTCTGAGAGCTATAGAAATTACTGTGAGGTGGGCGAGAGGCGGGCATGACTCTGATGTATACCAGAGAGTTGGGGGTTGAGGAACACCAGGAAGAGGTAAATGTTCTGAATACAGCTGGCCAGCAAATGGACTTCCAGTTACACACACACACACACACACAATGGCTTTTTGGAAAAAAAAAATAAAATAAAAAATCCCGAATCAGGCCCAAAATCCAAACACTCATTTTTTTCCACAGAACTGGAAATTTGCAATAGTTTGTTTTGGAAACAGCAAAACATTCCTACAGCTTGAATGCTTCAGTGTTTCCAAAACAAAATATGCTCCCAAGATCCCAGCCCTGGGAGCCCCCGATATGAAGCATCC